ACCACTTTATTTGCCATTAAAAACAATTTAAATTTCCTTTGTATAGGAGTACATCTCTAAAGAAACCCTTAGAATCATAAGCAACTTGAAAGCCATCTGGTCCAATCTCCTCATTCTACAGATGCAGAAGCAGGTCAAGGTTTCCTTACCTAAAGGCATGCAGGCACTCAGTACCAAGAGCAGGATTTGAACTCAAGTCCTCTGACGACAGAGTTGGTGCCTTTTCCACCACACTCTATTGTCTTCCTTGGACTGATTAAGACAACGGTGTGATCTTTAGTCTCCTCTCCATCTTCGTGGCATTAAAGTCCAGTTTGTCAAAACCTGTAGTGCCCAGAACTGAAGTCACTCCTCTAGACGTGGGGGGACCGGGACAGATTATGATGGGACTGTCACGTCCCTTATTTCTGGACACCAAGACTCTTAGTACAGCCCAAGACTGTATATACAGCAAAGGGGCACAGGGATGTTTTTTATAATAAAATTCAGTGGCTCATGGTCAGAGATGCACTTCCTGCGGAAGGTTTGGGACCCGGGACTCTGGTCACTCTGCCTTTGCTGTGTTTATTCTTTCCTGATCTTGGGCAAATGAGTACCTGGAGATGAATGTGTCCAGGCTTGGAAGATCCCATCAGGCTGGACCTGGCTGGTGACAGGAGAAATTTCTACATTAGAGAGGATGGATAGCTGCCAGAGGGCTGCCCAAGCCTGAGCCAGCTTTTACCAGCAGAAAGGTGCCAGGAGCTGTTAGGACGGTGCCCAGCCGAGGTAACGTGTGAAATGTTTTAGTTAGCTGCAGTTTGACAAACTTTTGTGTTCTTAGGGGGGTCAGTTCTACCCTACCAGCAGGTTGTAACAGTAGTTATACTGCTGAATTCTGTTCAGATTGTTCCACTGATGTCTACTCTGGTTCTTTCATGCTTAGAATGCCTTTGTGTGCAGAAATAAACTGCTTGTTCCCTAACCTGATGCACATTATGCACTGAGTGCCTCTCACACCCACCCCCTCTTTGAGGAGACCTACGCACCAACCATTGCTTTAGGCTTAAGCAGTTCTCCCCTAGCATGCTGGGATCAGAGGACTTAGCCAGTGGGAGTGTGAAAGGGGAACCCCATCCCCACAGCTACCAACAGTAGCCCTCCAGCGCTAAACCCAGCCCAGACCACTTGCCTGGGTGCAGAGCAAAGAGTCACATGGGATAAGCAGGCATGGAGGATCTCTATTTGCCATCACTGGTTGTTGTCTTTGTTATCGAATCATTTCAGTGGTGCCCAACTCTCTGTGACCCCATTTGGGGTTTTCTTGGCAAAGATACTGCAGTGGTTTGCCATTTCCTTCTCCAGCTCATCTTGCAGAGGAGGAAACTGAGGCAAACAGAGTGAAGTGACTTGCCCAGGGTCACACAGCTAGTAAGTGTCTGAGGCTGGATTTGAACTCAGGTCCTCCTGACTCCAGGCCCAGTGCTCTATCCACTAGCTGCCCTCACTGGCATCACTGGAGGGAACATCTAAATGGATGCACTCACAGATTCTTTTGAGTGGAGTAGAGAAAAATAATTCCTAACAATTAGAATAATCTCATAACTGGGATGAGCTGCTGTGGAAGAGACAAGTCCCACCTACCCAGAGGACTTCAAGTCACAGCTGGATGACTCCTTGTTGCCCATGGCAGTGAGGACAGCCCTTTTTACATATGGGTTAAAGTAGTTAGCCTTTGAGCTTCCTTCCTGCTCTCAAATTCTGTTTCTTGTTGAAGGCTGTTGCCATAAATTTATTGTGTAACCTTGAACTGGTCACTATTCCCTGGGCCTCAGTTTCTTCAAGGCAAAACCAGGGATTTGAACTTGATTGTTACAATTAGATTGTAAGCTCCTTGAAGGAAGGGACTGTCTTTTGCCTCTGATTGTATCCCCAGTACTTAGCTTGGCACGTAGAAGGCACTTAATAAACGCTGATTGATTGATTGATGGTGCCTTCCAATTCTAATAGATTATGAAACTATTTTCTAAAGTACCAAAAAGAACTAAGGAAGTCCCTATAGCAAGACCTGCATGTGATCTGGAGGTCACACTGGGCTCTGGAAGGGTGTGGTAATAGAGCATAGGCAGTGTCTACCATGTTGCAAAGCCTTCTGGTGTGGTCCTGACAATGATTTGAATCTGCTTTCCAAGGACACAGCTAACCAGTACCAGAAGGATCTTCGACACTTGAACAGCCAATTAGAAATGAATTCTTTGGCCACAGCTACTTATGAAACAAAGGGAAAATTCAGAAACGGCCTTTAGGCCTGTGATCCCCCTTTCGTTTCAGTAATGCCGGGGGTAGAGTCACGGAAAGGCGGCAGAGGGAAGAAGTAGCCAAGAATTTATAAGTTTCTTTATCTTTTCATTAGCTCCACGCCCCCAGACAGAGATGGATCTTCTGGCAAAACACCTCAGTGGTTGACCTATCTCTGTCTCTTCTCTGGGGATATCTTCATTTACTCCCTCCCTCCCATATTCCCAATAATTACATCCCCACTCTCCCAATTAACAGATGCTGTGGTTAATGCTGTTTATTAAGACAAAGGAACATTTAAAACAAAGAAAGGCAGGCTGACTTTCCCTATGCTCAGAGGAAGAGACTTCAGGCTCCCATGAAGAAAATCAAAGCGAGAGAGAAAATCCAGAACTATGTCTTGGGATCCGGGAGGGGTAGAAGAGGTAGCTTCCGTCCAGATGCTGTCATTCTAGATTGGTCAAAGAACCCTTCTTTCAGAGTCCTGGTTCTTCTTCTTTGGGTAATGGTTGCCTCTCCCGGAGTCTCAACCCTTCAGTGCCACTCAGTTTCTCAGAGGTTCCTTTTCTCTAGCTCTCTGTCTTCTTGTCACAGGAAGAACCTCGCTCCTCCCTGAGCCTCTCACTTGAACTCACCAAACCACCTTTCTGAAGGAGACGTGGCCTATCTTTCTCCAACCATAACACTGCTTCCTTTTTGATTCGCTGGAGGTTTTTATTCATGCTTCACAAAAGGATCCCTTGATATGGCCCAATTTTTTTTACAGTTAATTGGCTCTTTTCTGTGATTAGGTCAGGGAAAGATCAGCTTCCTTACACTGGATTAAGTCAGTGACCTTTTCTCTTATACTTTAATCTTCAGGTTTAAGAAATAAAGGAGTCCAAAGGCTTGGAAACCTGACAAAACTCTCACTCCTATACATTATGAATACTTTCTTTAAAGAAGAGAGTTACAAGGTTCTGGACGTGGTAGACACTGTAGGGCAACATAAAAGGAAACAAGTTATATCATAATGAAAAAATAACTGTTTACCAACGTGGAAGTCATTTCCAAATCAGCTTTCTTTGTATAGCCAGAACACTGACATGTTAGAGCAAAGATCGAAATTGTACCAAGTCAGAAGAAAAAATAAAACAGAAAATGAGGCGTACGATCAAAGCAGTGCCAGCCTTTCCTTATTTAAACAAGGTTTTGATGCCATAGAGAGGCAGCATGGAGCCAGTATTGGCATCAGAAAAGTCAGGGTTGTGTGATGACTAATATTGATAAACTTAACCCTTCCCAGCAATACGAGGATCTAAGACGTCTCCAGAGGCCTCGTAGTGGAAAATGCTATCCATATCCAAAGAAATGGATTTTGAATGGAATTTGAATACAGACTGAAGCATACTATTTGCTAGTTTTTTTTCCTCTTCTGTTGAGTTTTGTTTCCTCTTTCTGGTGGTTCCTCCTATTGGTTCTAATTCTTACTTACAACATCACTAATGTGAAAATATATTTGATGGGAATGTATATGTATGCCCTATATCAGACTGTGTGCCATCTTGGGGAAGGAGGTGGGAAGGAAGGGGGAGAAAAATTTTAAACTCAAAGGCTTATGGAAGTGATTGTTGATAAATTAAAATAAATTAATAAAAAAGAAGAAAAATCAGGGTTCAAGTCTTGCCTTTGACACATTCTAGCTGCTTGACCCTTGGGAAATCATTCAACATCTTGGTGCCCCTGGGCGACTGGACAAGATTGTAGGTTACGGGTGAGCCGATGTCCTGTTGTAGCTAAAGGAAGCTGCACCCTGAGAGTTCCATTTACCGAGGAAATATAGCTGATAATAAACCCATGTAACCAAATCAGCCGCTTCAATGAAGAGGCCAATGGAAGGGAGGCAGAGAAGAGAAATGTGGCAGTTAAGTCAACACCACTTTCGAATATCAACTCGTTTGTACAGTCCTATAGAGGGTGGTTTTGGAAGAGGGTGGGCAGCATTGCTTTAGGAAACAGATAAGAAGGGAAGGAAAACTGAGGCAGAAGCAATCTTGGCAGGAGAATCAACTGAGCCAGAGCCATCCTAAGAGCATGCAAGAAGGGAACTATAGAGGAAGAAAATAAACAGACAAAAAAAGATCTACCAACATTTTTGTAATGAGTGTTTTCTCCATCAGAGTGGAGCTGCAATCATCGCATTCTACTATTGTAGCCCTAGATATACTGTGTGATTAAGTAGAAATGGTTTTAAAGAAAACAAAAGCAGGAAGAAAAATCGGGCCACACAAAAAGAGGAGGTTGGGCAGCTGGGTGGTGCAGCATATAGAGCAATGGGCCTGGAGTCAGGAGGACCTGAGTTCAAATCCAGCCTCAGACATTTGCTAGCTGTGTGACCCTGGGCAAGTCACTTCACTGTTTGCCTCAGTTTCTTCCTCTGTAAAATGAGCTCGAGAAGAAAATGGCAAACTACTCCAGTATCTTTGCTAAGAAAACCCCAAATGGGTCACAGAGTCAGACAGGACTGAAACCAACCCAAATTGAATGCAGAGGTTGGAAGTCTAAATGAAATGGTGGGCTGTGGGCTAGATGCACCATAATTCTATGGAAAGAGTGAATCACTGTGCAGTTTGCATGCATAGCTCTCTGTTTGCATGATCATTTCCTTATGCCCAGACCGGATGACTGGGCTGGGTGAAGTTCTACAGATAAAGGGAGGAGGTAGGTGTTTCCTATAGGTGAAAGTGAAAGAGTTCATTTGGATTGGGTGAATCCACAGGAGCCACACCTCTTAGGCCAGTGAGAAGAACACAGCCGCCCAGAGAGAGGTGAGTATCACGCACTCTTAAGAGCTGTAGAGAGCTTGGTGGTTTGTTTCCCACGACTCCCTCAAGAAAGAGTCAAGCCCATGACTCTCACGGTGCCTATGAATAGCATAAGGTTAATGGTTAGTAATGCCGTCTACCGGTTACCGCAGATCAGGAAATTGAAGTTCAGTTGTGTCCAACTCTCTGTGACCCCATGTGGGGTTTTCTTGGCAAAGATACTAGAGTGGTTTGCCATTTCCTTCTTCAGCTCATTTTATAGATGAGGAAACTGAGGCAGACAGGGTCAAGTGACTTGCCCAGGGTCACACAGATAAGTGTCTGAGGCCGGATTTGAACTCAGGAAGATGAGTCTTCCTGACTCTCTATCCACGACACTCTATCCGCTGCACCACCTAGCTGCCTGCCTGGAATATAGTAGGGGCTTAATAAATGACTGACTGGCACCGTATAGCCTTATGCTGAGTATATCACAGATTTTGGGGAGGATTTTTTTGTATCAACAATTCTTATTACATCACCTTAGTAAATACTCCTTTCTAAAAACCAACTGTCAGCTTGACTAATTGCTTTCAATTAATAATCATTAGGGGAAGTTTGCCATTTGGGGCTTGTGAGCTACAGTACTAGAAAAGCCACCCTCCACCCCTTCGGGCTTAACCTAGGACCCTCAGGGAAGAGGGAGAAGGCACTCTAGGGAGAGCTGCCCTGCTAGTTAGAGGGAGGACTGGGAGAGGAGCTCCAGAGCAAACATTGCACAACAAATAAACCCTTGTTGGAACATTGAATTGAATAGAATCCTCAGAACTTCGTGACCACAGGGACCGTACCTCCAAAGGTCAGCACTGCCCTCCAAAGAGATCTACGTTTAAATACTACCTCAGACATACAAGCAAAGGAAAGCCAGGCAGCTTCATCACTTCTCCCGGTCTCAGTTTCCTCATGTCTGCAGTGTGTACCTCGAAGGGCTGTGGTGAGGATCTAGTGAGATGCGAAGTACTTGGCAAACGTGGTGACCGTTATGATCATAACTCTTCTCTGTGGTGCTCTAGTGAGGAATTCCAAGCAGGAAGAAAACTGCAGGCTCACCGATGACGTTTGCCACTCTGGTGGCTGTTGCCCGATGCAGAGTCCAAATGGAGAGCTCCCCAGACATGATGAGGTCCCACGGCGAGGGAGGAGATTGTTCTGGGGCACCAAGGGACAAGAGGCTGCCGGGCTCCTGCAGCTGTGTAGGGGAGGGCCAGGCAGCCTTGGTGTTCCCTCTGGCACCCACATAAGGCCAAGAGAAGAGGCCCCTGGTACACTGGGGTAGGTGGGGAACCACCCAGGGAGAATTCATCTGAGCACATTGAATAAAGTCATCCCAGAGAAGACCGCACAAGACGTGTTGAATGGGTTGTAATCTGTATATCCGGAGGGAGCACCCACTCTGTGAGATCACAGATCCACTGCCATTCATAAAAGAAAATGTGGTTAGCAGAAGACTATAAAAAAAAAAAGAAAGAAAATGACAAACGCAGCCTTTCTCTGGCTGCAGGTTTGTGGCAGCTGGACAGAGGACAGAGCAACAGGGAAGCTCGAAACCGAAATTCCAACTTAATCCTTTCCCCTCTGTTGTTCAGTTATGTCTGACTCTCTATGATCCCATTTTGGGTTTTCTCAGCAAAGATACTGGAGTGGTTGGCCATATTCCTTCTCCAGCTCATTTCACAGATGAAGAAACTGAGGCAAACAGGGTTAGGTGACTTGATCAGGGTCACACAGCTAGGAAGTGTTTTAGGCCAGATTTGAACTCAGGTCTTCTTGATGCCAGGCCAGGCTCTCCATCTACAGTGTCACCTAACTGCCTCTTTCCCTCTTCTCTAGATTCCTTCCAATGATACCGACATTCTCTCCCTATTTTTCCAGAGTCAGAGATTTTCCCAATATTCCCACCCCTAAATTCTCCCCTTCCCCCAGTCCATGCCTATATACATGCACACCTATATGTGTGTGTACATATATAAACATATATGTATATATACACACCTCTCTCTTTATATATGTATATATATAGACCTACCTATGTGTGTGTATATATATGTACACATGTTTATATACACACACCTCTCTATGTATATATATAGAACTACCTATTATATATATATACACCTACATATATACACACCTCTTTATAAATATATATGTGTATATATATATATACAATATGGTTATGTATGTGTGTGCACATGCACATGAGAGTCTACATGTATGTGTACATGTACATGCACATATTTTAAAGACATCACAACTGGCATCTTATGATGTCCTGGTTAATGCAAACTAAGTCTCAAAAGGAGTTTCTTCTCTAGGTTCTTTCTGTACATAGGATAATACAGGATTCTATGTCTGGAGCTGGAACTCCCTCATTTTTCAGATGAGGAAACTGAGGCCAAGGGCAAGTGAAATAGGTTGCATAGATACCTAGTGGTAGGGGTAGGATTTGAACTCAGATCCTCTGACTCCAGCACTAGCATCCATCCACCTGCTGTATCTTGGTACCTTGCTTCATTGATTTAGCTTGTTTCAGACCTCCTCTAGGACCGGACCTCTTTTCATTCCCATTACACACGCAGAATGTTTTAGTGACAGCACCTGGGTAATCATAATGCCCTTCATTGTTTGCAAGTGGGTCATTTTAGACCCTTCTCACACCCTTTGGATGATTTCTAGTTGCTATGAAAACCCAGCTCAGGTGCTACTTCCTCACCCCCGGCCCCATTCATTAACACTCTCTTCCTATTTAAATTACTTTGCATTATTTTTGTAATGGAGGAGGTAGACATAATCACTGAAAGACCAGAATGTAATGACAAGGTGTTAATGAGGTGTTAAATTAACTGTAAAAGGTGCCTCAAAGCCCCTGATCCCTCTGGGGCTTAAATTAGCTAAGCTCTGGATGAATAGAAGCATTTTGAGTGGAGAGTGGGAGAAATTGAAGGTTGGAAGCTATCTATGAAAGTAACTCCTGCAGGGGAGGAGAAGGGAATTTCTCTTTTCTCAAACCACATCTTCACTTCAAACTCCAGCACGTTGGCGGTGGAGCTTAGAAGACATCCGGTGGGAAGCAGAGACACCCACTCCAGACTGACATAGGAAAATAGGGATTCATGAAAGGAAGGAAGGAGATTCCAAAAGCGTGACTCTGGAAGCAGAGAAGAAAGTTGGTTATGGAGAGGAGCAGACCCTAGGAACTCAGGTATGCAGCCCACCCAGAAAAGACTTTGTACCCAAAGAGAATTTCACATGGACATTCTAAAGAGAACAGGTTTCTAGTTCCTTCGATATCAAGAGTTTTAAGTTGTCTTAGCCACACGCTTGACCCACACCGTGCCTCATTACTAGCATACTCTAAGTTTGAGTCCACTCTTCCCATGAATGCTAAGTATATTTGTGAGGAGTACACATTCAGTTTTGTGGGGGCATTATTTCATGACTATTGTGCTTGCTACTTCATTTAAGTAAATGCCTTTACTGAGAGTTAATTGAATCTACTGACTGATTGTTAATGGGTAGCACACTGGTAGGGGCTTGTAAGCACTGCAACTTTATGGGGTTATCCCTGGAAACCAAGGCATTGCTTGGCCTCTGGGGACCCAACCTGTAACTGTAAATGCATATTTCCCAGAGGAGTAGCTCCATCTTGTGTATACTTTATATTTACAGGTTTGTGCATGCTGTTACCCATCTCACTTCCCACCCCCAGCAGAAATAAACTCCTTAAGGGCAGGGACTGATTTTTTTTCTTTTGGTTCAAGTCTGTCTCTAGACCCCAGCACAGTGCCTGGCACATTTTCTTGGCACAGGACTCATGGTTTTATTGGTACAGAGAACATGGATGAGGAAGTTTCTTCTACCAGTGAAGAATTGCCTGGGGGCAGAGAAGTGCCACAGACTGTTTGACCTATGGGAAAGAGCCACCCTGGGAATCAGGAAGGCCTGAGTTCATAGTCCTGTCTCTGACATATATTAGCTGTGTGACCCAAAGCAAGTCTCCTAACCCCTCGGTATTGGGTTCATAGTAGGTGCTTGATACATGCACATAAATTGAATTGAATGAGGACATTTGCTAAGTATCACACAACTATCAAGTGGAAATGGTAGAGTGGAGATGGCTTCCAGGTTGATGTCAGAGCATGTGGCTGTCTGACTCAGAGCAAATCACTTCACCTCTAACATTAGTAACTATTACCTCCAGGGTCAATTGGATGTAGGCATCTGTGTGTTGCCCTTCTTAGAACATGTGGGTCCTCATGGGTTGGCAATTCACAGGGAGCTGTAAAGAAACATCTCTGGAATCTTGTCCACTCCTCTTAAAGGGAGACTCTGATTCCTTCCTGGAGGGGAATGGGAGATGGGATCTCCTCCATGAGGACCCCTCCCAACATAAGGCTGATTCATGTTCTCTGAGAGAGGAAGGGTGCCATATTAGAATATATATGTATCTCCTCCTCCTTTAATATTTCTGGCCTAAGGAAGGATTTTTTTTAGGGTCAAGCTTCTTTCCTAGTAGCTATCCTTTAAAGGAAAAGGGGTCCCCCAAGCTCATACCCCCAGGTCTGACTCCTATTGCTTGGTAGTAAACAGGAAACAAACCCATCTATCTAAGTCAATAGCAAACCCGAATCAGAAAGGTTATACAGATGAGAATATACCCCAAAATGTACAAAGTGAATGAACTCCTCTACTGCGATTGAAAAGAAAGAGAGACAGAGACACAAGAGAGATATAGAGGCAGAGAGAGACAGACAGACAGACAGAGACAGACACAGAGACAGAGATAGAGACACAGAGAGACCAAGAAAGAAAGGGGGGGGAGAGACAGAGACAGAGAGATAGAGACACAGAAGACCAAGAAAGAGAGGGGGGAGGGGAGAGAAAGGGGGGGAGGGGGGAGAGAGGGGGAGAGAGAGAGAGAGAGAGAGAAGGAGAGAGAGAGGGAGAGAGAGAGAGAGAGAGAGAGAGAGATTCAAACAAGGGGAAATTTCTCTAAGCTTCCAGAAAGGCAAGTTGGAAATCAGGGACATGTTCTCTTATCTGTCTGCCATGTCCAAAGTCTTTTCTTTCTTTATCTCCACAGATCCCTCCCTGAAGAGTCTGAAACTAAGTGTGTCTTCTCTTAAAGCAAGAGTGAAGAATGTCTCTGCTTTTCAAATCTCTTGAGCCGATTCTACCTTACCTAATAATAATAATCATAACAACAACATTTATATAGCACCTACTGTATGCCAGGCACTGTGCTAAGTACTTTTAAATTATTATCTCATTTGATCCTCATAACAACCCTGGAAGGTAGAGGGGATAAAAATTATCCCCATTTTACAGATGAGGAAACTGAGGCAAATAGAAGTTGAGTGACTTTCTGAGGGTCACACAGCAAGTAATGTCTGAGGACAGTTTTGAACTCAGGTCTTCCTGACTCCAAGCCCAATGCTCTTCCCACTGGGCAGGTGTGATTATTCTATCCACCAATCCCAAACAATTCGACCTCTCTAAAGCGGCCTGGGGGCAGCTAGGTAGAGCAGTGGATAGAGCTCCAGGCCTGGAGTCAGGAAGACTTATCTTCATGAGTTCCCTGACCAAGTCACTTCACCCCCTTTCCCTCAGTTTCATCATCTGTAAAATGAGCTAAGAAGGAAATGGCAGACCACTCCAGCATCTCTGCCAAGAAAACCCCAACTGGGGTCACAAAGAGTCAGACAAGACTGAACAACAACCAAGGTGCACCGGGCTGCCCAGGGAGGGGGCAGGCATCGCCTTCTGGAGGTCTTCAGATAAGGAGCCGACAAGCCCTCGTGGGAAATGCTGTGCAAAGAGTTCTAGGGTCCTGGATCAAAGCTGGAAGGGACCCCGGCGGCCATGCAATTCAACTCCCAGATCACACAGATGAGGAAGCTGAGACTATAAAAAGGTCCAGTGTGAGAGACCAGATTCGAATCTCGGTCCTGTCAAATCCAGAGCTTTCCGCTCCATCATATCCTTATTCAGGTAGGTAGCAAAGTGGGTAGAGTATCTGTCCTGATACCAGGAATATCAGAGTTCAAATCCTAGCGTAGACTGTGTGGCCCTAGGCAAGTCATTTGACTTAGGTAAGCTTCGGTTTTCTCATCTGCAAAATGGGCATGATAATAATAACACCTACCTCCCAGGGTTGTTTGGAGGTTCTAATGAGATAATACAGATAAAGTGCTTCGTAAAATTTAAAGCATGACATGAATGCCAGCAATTTTTTTTATTATTATTATTAGCTTGCCCCTGAAGTCCCTTGTAATTCTGGGTTCTGGGATTCTATAAACTATCAGTTCCTTGTCACTCAAAAGGTCATGGTCTCTTAGGAACAAAGCTTGGGTGGTGGAATGTCATATGGGGGACTGAGGGACCAGAGAGGCCTTCCAAGTCCCCTGAAGCCGCCGGGGGGGGGGGGGTGTCTCCTGCTCCATTTACTCCTAAGATCAGCCCTATAATAGAGTAAGGGAAAAAGTGCCCACAAAGTCTTGGAAGCTGATGAAAGGGGAAGCAAGGAAGGAAGAGGTTGTGGTTGGGGGGGAGCAGTGCGGGGGGGTGGGAGCAGTGCGGGAGGGGGTGAGAGCTGAGGACTGCTGGGCTCAGGAGTCTGCTTCCCGGGGCCTGGCCAGCCCCCTCTGCCAGGGCCCTCTAGGTGCCTGGGGGTCAGACTCTGGGACAGCTTCCGCCGGTGAGCCTGGGACTCTGGAGTTTTCTCAGCCTCAAACTCTCCTTGGTCTTGGAGGGGGACGCAGAGGAAGTGGCTGGCCCACAGATGACGGGAAGGATTTGCAGGGAAGCAGGCGCGTTCTTGATGGCTGCCCAGAGATAGAGTCCAGTCCCAGAGGGATGGAATTGCGGTTTCTGTCAAAGGCAGCCTGTTTACATAAAATTCTTGGATTGGTCTTGGTTCACTTTAAAACGAAACACAGCCCGAGCTGCCTGGGCCACTGGGAAATGGACCTCAGTGGAGAACTATGTGCTGACTTCCCTCCAAGATCCTGGCCCCAGATGGCGGTCTGCACACGGCACGACTCCTCCAACCAAGTTTCCACCCTCAGGGACATTTCCTGGTGGGGCTCAGAGTTCACCGGACTTCCCATCTGCCTTGGATGAGCTGCCTGCCTGTTCCCCTGTCCCTTTTCAAGGTTCCAGCCTCGCCACCAGAAGAGGAAAAGTCCTGGACAAGCAGCGGTGTTGGAAAGTTAGCCTGGCGGCCTCCAGCCCAAAGGACCAAAAGGAGGCCCAGAGACCTTTTGTCTCCCAGGCCAACTTTCATCTTGGGACAGACGGCTGCTGGAAGTAGGGCCGCGGAGCTAGACCAGCCCTGGGCAGTCTTCTGGTCTGGTCTCCTTTTACAGATAAGGAAACTGAGGCCCAGTGAGGATAAGTAACTTGTGAAAGGTCACACAACCCCATTTTTGACGTTCCATCTCCCTCTCCCCTCCCCTATCCTCCTAACTGATGCACAAATCTCCCCAAGAAGGTCACTGACAAAAGGCATATAGCCAGTGCTCAAACACCTCCTTTAATTGGAATGAATTGCCTATCATCGAATCCCAATATGCTTTCAAACAGCTCTAACCACCAGGAAGCTGTTTCCTCTCCTGAGCTGAAATCTGCCTCCCTAGGGGAACATCCCCCACTCTTTCCAGTACTGCCCTCTTGAAGACATCTGTCATGTCCACTGGTATCCCTAGGATGTCAGGACAAAGCTGAGAGGCCTCTGGCACATTGAGGAGTGTCCAACTTCATGGACATGGGCGTGGAAGGCCCCTACACCAGCAGGCATGGCCGAGGTGATGGTGTGTACCGCTGAAGGATCATTCAATTCATGAGCTAACAGGCCCATCCAGAGCAGTATCAATCAGTATTTACTAAGCACCTACTGTGTTCTAGGCCCTGGGCTAAGTGCTAGGAATACAAATATCCCTCCTCCCAAGTCACTCACATTCTCACATGGAAGACCACAAGAGCATATAAAAAGACACACCGAACGAACACAAACTAAGCAAACATCAATAGAAGCAAAAGAGTCACCTAAAGGAAAGTTTGGGAGTGAGGACACAAACATTTATGGGGATCAGAAAAGGCTTTGTGCAGGGGATAGTGCCTCAGCTGCACCTTACAGGAGGAGAGGTTCTTGGAGGCAGAGTTAAGAAGGTAGGGCATTCCAGGTTGGGGGGAAGGCCAGGGCAAAGGTTCGGAGATGGCAGATGCTTTGTTATGTGTGAGGAGCAGACTGCGTAACAGAATGTGAGAGTGAGATTTTTGGTCCATTGAGTCAGAAGGACAGGCTGGGGCCAGGTTATCCAGAGCTTTAAAAACTCAACAGAGTCTATATTTTTTTCCTAGAGGTGTTAGGAAGTCACTGGAGTTGGGTACAGAAGTCACATGGTCAGATCTGAGTGTCAGCAAAATTCATTAATCAGCACTGTGAAGGAGGGATTGGGGCGAGGAGATTGGATTAGAGGTAGCTGGCTGTGGCAATAACCTAGGTGAGAGGTGATGAGGGTCTGAAGGAACGAGGCATCTGTGTAACGGGAGAGAAAGGGTCCCCTGGGAGAGATGCTGGCAAGTGAGAAGGGGCCAGACTGGCATCAGATGGAAGATGGGAAAGTTATAAACCTGAGAGCCTGAACCATGCAGTACTTTGACAGACCAGGCTTGGGGAGAAAAAAAAGAGTTCAGTTTCCATTGGGTTGAGTGTGAATTGACTCCTGGACACTCTGTTTGAAATTCCTCTTAGGCTATTGTGACACAGAACTGAAGCCCATAGAAGAGCCTGGAGCAGGGCATATGTAGACACAGGAGTCATCTGCACAGAGCCCATAGCCAAACCCACAGGAGACGACAGTTACCAAGAGGGAGAAGACAAAGGAGTCTCAGACAGAGCCTTGAACCTACAGTTAAGAGGCGTTATGTGGATGAGGCAGCAGAGGAGATTGAGAAGAAGTCATCCAGGTAGAAGGAGAACCAGGAGAAAGTGAGGTGACAAAAACCCAGAGGGGAGAGAGTTTTGGGGAGGAGAGGGGGGGTCAGGAGGTGAAATGCAGCAGCTAAGAGGAGAAGGCTTGGGACTGAGGCAAGACCATTGAATGGGCTACCAAGAGCTCACTTTGGAGAGAGAAGCATCAGCGGGTGGTGAAGCCAGACCGCCAAGGGCTAAGAAGGAAGCGGAGAGAGGGAGTGAAGGCTGAGAGGAACTTAGCCGAGAAAAGGAGGAGGGAGATAGGATAAACACTTGGGATGATAAGGGTCCAATAAAATCCTTTAAAAGTAAGGTTGGGGATGTGGGTGTGTTTGAAGAGAGCACCGAGGAAACGGGGTAGAAAAAGGCTGAAGGCTGGAGAGAGAAAGAAGATGGCTTAGGGTGGAGAAGGAAGGAGAGGAGCTGGAAGAGAAGTGCATGGCTGGTGGGAAGGAGGGTGCGACATGCTGTCACGGGTTCTGGAGAGGAGGAGAAGGGAGAAGAGGGAGCCTGGGTGCTCGGAGGTCCTCGGCTGGTGGGGGTGGGGGAGAAGAGTGAGGACTCAGATCAAGACGCCTTTCTTAAGCACCTACTATGTGCCGGGCACTGAGCTAAGCCCTAGGGAGACAAGAAAGGCAAACGAGAGTCCCTGCTCTCAAGGAGCTCCCAGTCTAACGTGGAGGCAACGTGCCAACAGCTGCACAGATGAGCCTGGAGAGGACAAATTAGAGGAAATCAAGAGAGAAGGAGGCACTAGCAGGAAGGAGGACAGGAAAGGCTTCTTGCAGAAGGAGGGATTTTAACCGTGGAAGCCAGGAGGCAGAGACGAGGAGGGAAAGCATTCTAGGCAGGGGGCACAGTCAGGGAAAACACCTGGAGGTGGGAGATGGAGTGGCTTGTGGGAGGCACAGCCAGGAGGCCAGTGTCACTGGATTACAGAGTACCAGAAGGGGCACAAGGTGTGAAAAGGTAGGAGGGAACACCTTATGAATAGCTTTGAATACCAGAGAATTTTATATTTGATCCTGGAAGCAATAGTTGTTTAGTGAATATCTGTTTAGTGAATATCAGGTGACGTGGTCTGACAGGGCAGTTGGATAGAGTGCTAGGCCTGGAGTCAGGAAGACCTGAGTTCAAATCCAGCCTCAGACATTTACTAGCTGTGTGCCCCTGCACAAGTCACGTAACCTCTATTTGCCTCAGTTTCCTCATCTATAAAATGAGGATAATAAAAGCACCCACCTCCCTGGGTTGTT